TAATCCTATTACCAACCCAATATTGGATAGAGAGAGGGGTCAATAATATGCAGAGATTGCAGTGTGAATATAGTATAGCAATCTGAAAAGTGAGACCTGAGTAGACAATCCAAATGGATGTTGATCCACTTGCAGAAAATCAAAAGAAACCCTAAGCCAGATTCAGGAGGAGTAGAGACGAGTGGAAAATCAAGACCAGTGCCTTTAATCAGAATAACAATGCTCTTTAATTCTTTGTTAATTAAATGTAGATTTCCCTGATTGAAGAGCAGTGCTGCTGATGCCAGGGGACCTCCAGTCACATAAATATCTACTCACTGAATTTGTCTTGTTTAACCATGCATTAGTTCTCTTTTCCCAAACTGTCTGGTGCTGGTTTACACAGAAGGTCTGTCAGCTGAAGGATAGTATCTCGCAAACAACTCCTCAAGATTTCAAACGTTCTGCATCCTCAAAGGGAGGATTTCTTGGCAAATTGTTAAACACCTTCATAAGTGGGTTACATCCAGACACTTTTTAAAAGAAATGAGAGTAGTGGTGAATTCTCCGCTTCTAAATTTCACACCATTTCTCTCTTTCCTGGTCATTCTCCCTGTTTCTCTTCCTCACTACCTCCCTCCCTCAGTCCCCCTACATCAATGTAATGAGCAAATCATGGCCACTAGGGAGAGATGTAGAGAGAAAAATTGGTCCCATTATGTGTCAAGCTGTGTGAAAAGAGCAGCGCTGTTGTCTGTCAACTCTAACCCCCAGCTGTCCCTGGTCTTAACTTCCAACCAAACACAAAGAGGTCTTTTCCCACACGTAGATCTGCTTATTATTTCCCCGTCTTTTAACTAAAAAGTCCATTATAGAAAATGCCAGGACAGGCATGCCCTTTTCTGCACCAGCTCTGGCAGAGCTCAGACAAGGGAACAATGGACACAGTAACACACGCTGATTCAGGGCTGATTTAGAGTGACTGGTCTTAAACCTGACTTATAGAGTACAGTAATTATAGGAGTTGAAGGGAGGGGCTGTTAAAGATGCTGTGGTTAGGTGGGGGCATGTGTATGGAGGCTGTTGTCATTTGGCAGCCAGTCCACTTGGAGAGAGAAATTACTATTCGAGCCAGAGCCTGGGTGGTGGAACATTTATCAAACAGTCATCAGAATGATTCACATGATCCAGTGGGGAGCCATTATTTCACCAGTCCAGTCTCTCAAGGCAACCTGCTAGTGGCAAGGATGATGACAGCTATGGGCTTTATAAGCACAGGAACAGACATATAGAGTAATTGTTTGAGAACAATAGTTTAGAAAGTCCTATCTCTTTTCAAAGACTCATATGTAGTCTGTGGATTGGACTAGACTGAGTGGGGAAAAATGAGCAGTTAAGCCCAACTTGGGGGCATATGGCATTTCACTGTAGCAGAACACAGAGATGCCTCAGGAAGGGGCTGACAAACATGTGGTCCCTGTAGTTGCGGGGGAGAGTAACTTGCACTGAATACATAAAGATCACAAATAAACAGACCATCCACCTGCTCAGCAACTGTTTTGGGACCTTGTAGAAGGTATTGATACAGTTTTTCATTTGCTGGCCTGGCAGGTACAAGCAAG